AGCGAATCCTGGCGGTTTTGGGGAAAACACTAGGATTTCAGCATTCTATAGCAATTTTCTAAGTTATAAAAGCACGGAAAGGAGCTCTAAAGCTGTCCATTTGATAGAGCTCATCAAGATGTACTTGGAAAGTTCCATGAGAACGTTGGAAAGTTGATGGGAGCGACTCCTGGCGGATTTTGGGGAAAAACCCAGGATTTTAGCATTCTGTAGCAATTTTCGAAGCAATGAAAGCGTGGAAAATATGTTTAAAGGTGTCCATTCGGTGGAGCTCATCAGGATCTGCTTGGAAAGTTATATGAGAGTGTTGGAACGTCGATGAGAGCGAATCCTGGCGGGTTTTTGGGAAAAACCTAGGATTTTAGCATTTTATAGTAATTTTCCAAGCTATAAAAGTATGGAAAGGAACTTTAAAGGTCTGGATTTGATAGAGCTCATCAAGATCTACTTGGAAAGTTCTATGAGAGCGTTGGAATGTTGATGAGAGGGAATCCTGGCGGGTTTTGGGGAAAAATCTAGGATTTTAGCATTTTATAGCAATTTTCCAAGCAATGAAAGCATGGAAAGGAACTCTAAAGGTGTCCATTTGATAGGTCTCATCAAGATCTATTCGGAAAGTTCTATGAGAGCGTTGGAAAGGTGATGAGAGCAAATCCTGGTGGGTTTAATGGAAAACCTAGAATTCTACCATGCTATGGCAATTTTCCAAGCTATAAAAGCATGGAAAGGAACTCTAAAGGTGTGCATTTGATAGAGCTCATCAAGATCTACTTGGAAAGTTCTATGAGAGCGTTGGAAAGTTGATGAGAGCGAATCCTGGTGGGTTTTGTGGAAAAACCGAGGATTTTAGCATTCTGTAGCAATTTTCGAAGCAATGAAAGCATGGAGAATAACTTTAAAGGTGTCCATTCGATGGAGCTCATCAAGATCTTCTTGGGAAGTTCTATGAGAGCGTTGGAAAGTTGATGAGAGCGAATCCTGAGTGCTTTTTTGAAGTGTTTCTGTATTTTTGGATTTTTTTTAGCATTTTTTTCGGATTTTGGAGGTGTTACGTATGTGGTGTGGGGGTGTAATTGATCGCGTTCGATAGATCTCGTCAAGATCTATTTGGAAAGTTCCATTAGAACGTTGGAAAGTTGTTGTGAGCGAATCCTGTTCGGAAATACGCGAATCTAGACCTAAGATATCCTACTTGTTTTACCAATATCTAAAGGAAATTGTGATGATTTTTCACAAGTTAGTTTAACTTTTTTAGATTTAACTCTACCACCAGCATTTGATTAAGTTTATAAATATTCTCCAATATGTTTTGGTTGTTTTGAATTAAATGAGTCAAGTAACTCATCAATTATTTCATTCACGTCATCATTTCTTTCCTGAAGTTCAAGTTTCATTTTTAATTGAAATATTATAATATTTGGTAAATAATTAGTAATAAGTTCTTTCCATGTATGTCCATCGAAATAAACTTGTGATATTATGATCATTAAGTGAGATAAATTCGGCATTTTTTCTTTCGATATTGTTATTTTTCGGCATTAGTAGGGTAAATCATTTGGACATAATTATGATTATCCATCACCTATTTCCTCGTGTACACATAAATGTTTCACATATACAATATTTAACAAAGCGTTAAGAAGACAAGATGTTAAAAGAACAATATCAGTGGATTTCTTTATTCGGGATTTTCATCAACAAGTTAATCAAAAAAAAAAGAAATTTTATTAATGTGCTTTGTTATTTTAAAAATCATTAAAATTAAACTTAACATAGTTATCATCAAATGATCTTGAACTTTCTGCAACTTATTCAGTTATAAGGTACACATTAATATAATCTTCATAAGTTATACTGTTCTAACACTTGTATAACATAAATAATGCAAAATATGTTGCTCGATATCATTATGTTGTTGCTTAATTTAACCATGCAAAATAAACGTGTATCGAAATTTATTTGAAAACAAAAAAGGTATGGCTCTTTTTATTTCTTATCACAGGTGAATGAAAATAATAATAAAAACTAGAAGTAAAAGTTTTTTTTCCTAAGTTCAAGGATGACAAAAAAAAAGAGTTAAATTAGATAAAATTAATCAATATCTGTTCGTGATCATTCCAAGGATTGTTTAAGCTTATCTTCATAATCTTTTTTGAAAATATATTTGATCAGATCCATAACACGATTTGCATCACTATATTCATTGTTACACCTATGAATAAAATTATTTTTCATACAGAAGAATTTTTCAATAAAAAAAAAACATACCATGAGACAAGTTTGACAAAATTATCTTTGAGCAAAATACCAGCTTGAGCATAAAAGATTAATGAATGTTTATCAACGATATCATGTGTTGGAACACTATTATCATCACTATAAGCCAAAATATTTTTTAATGGACCATTAGCAGCTTCTCGAATTGCAGCACAAATTTCTTCATATTTAGTCTAGATAAATAAATTTAAATTAATAAACTAAATCTAAAAAAAATATGACTTACGCCTTTGTTTAACCGAGCAGTAAGATCAATAAGTGAAACATTTAATGTTGGAAAAATGAAACTCGTGCCAGTTAATTTTTCATTCAAGTCAGGAATTATTTTTCCGATCTAATAAAACACAAATCAATTTTCTTTTTTATTAAAAAAATAAAAGAAATAAACATACAGCTTTATCAATAGTAATATTATTTGCAAAAAGAATATTTTGTTCAGCTTCACGTGATCGCCCACTCTACAGAAATAAAATATAAATAAGAGGCTTTTTTTTGTTGTTTTATTCAATACTTTATCTGATGGTTCATCAACAGTTTCTTGTACACGAATGGACGAACTTAAAGTTGTTATTAAAGCTTCAACAATACCAAATTTTTCATGAACAACTTTAACAAGTGGTGCTAAACAATTTGCTGTTGTATATAATGTACTTGAAAGAACTGTTTCTCTTCCTGTATATTTATCTTCATTGACCCCCATAACAAACACTGGAGCATCAGCTGATGGTACTGTAATGATAACTCTCCTAGCACCAGCTTGTAAATGTGATTTATATTCATCAATTGTTGTATATTTACAGATTGTTTCAACAACATATTCAACACCTAAAGAAAAACAAGCATATCAATCAATCATTGATTTGTCGATGTCAAGAGACAAAACATACCGAGTTCATCCCATGGTGGAACGTATGTTTGTCGTTGCCTAAAAATAGAATTTAATCAGATATTAAAATTAATTGATTTCAAATATTTACACAGTGAGGGCGCTGATTACTTGATCGGCAACAATAAATTTATCTTTATGGAAAACTTCACCTTTGAAATATGCATTTGCTGAATCGAATTTCAACTTATCAACCATATGTACAGCAGGTTGCAAACAAGCCGATGGATCTGGATCTAGAAAGATATAATTGTAAGACAAATAAATAAAGAAATCTAATACTAACCATTAACAGCTATTACTTGAATACCTTGTTCAAGTGCACATCGCAATACAAGCCGACCAATACGATTAAATCCATTAATACCAATTTTAATATTTGATGAATATAATATATCACGTAAATCAGGTGGACTATGAAAGAAATAAAAGATTTTAAACTATATTAAGATTAGGAGAGAGCAGAAAAAAAAGAGAAAGAAATATAATTAGAGTGCGACATGTCCATCCTTAGAAAATTTATTCTATAATTAGAAAACTATACTTACAAGGTAACAAATGGATCTGTTGTTGGAATAAGATCTAACACTTGTCTTAATCGGTCTTTTAATACTTTTTTACAATTAAAAGAAATTTTCAAAGCATTTATTTTGTCGTATTGAAGTTCCCATTGAAAACGTGATAAATCATTTGAGTATAAATTCATTTGAAAGAAAGCAATATCGTGATTTCCATTTATGGTCCAAGTCAATCCCATTGTTACATTTTTGCTTTCACAACAGTATCTTATATACAAACATGGATAATCATTACCATTTTTTTTTTTCGCTGCTGCTCCAAAATAAGTTTAAATAAATTCGAACACATGTTTTATAGTTTCTTACTTACCAGCAAATTCATCCTTATTTTTCAACATCTTTGACACTGATTTGATGATAATAATTCTTTTCTTTAATTTATAATAAAGAAAACGTACTTCATTATCTTCACACTCGTTTTCAATATTAAAATTATTGTCATTTGAGTTTAACATACATAATGCATTGTGCATATTTTTACATTCTTTTGGATCACCTCCAGCTATAAGTACAACCACGTTTGAGAAGTATGATTGACCTTTTTCAGATATAAGTGCAGGAATCTGAAAAGCATAGCGTAATTCAGTAACAAGATATTCAAGGATTTTAATTAATAACTCTGATGGTGATAATTTCTCGTCATTAATTGAAAATGAATAATGACTAATAAAAGACACATTATCACCAAAAAACTTCATATCGAACAGAAAACAAAGACACGGTCCTAAATAATCCGTTGCAATAGTTGTTTTACTGGTTCCTGACTCTCCCATATCAACATTCACATCGGCATGTGGTACCAGTATCACCATTTTTAATAAAAATCTAAAACAAACACTGTCTATTCTGTAATCAACTTAACAAACAATTAAAACAAAAAAAATCTCATGAATGTTTTGCTGAAATTAATTGTTTAATATTACTTTTAATTGATGTTGTTATTGATTGTTTGTTCTATTAAATAGTGAAGGTGAAAGTGAACTAGATGATCGATTTAATGATTTCTACGAAAATGAATAATTAATTTAATCTTTGATGATGAGAAAAAAAAGAACAGAATTCTTTTTATTAGTTTTAAATGGTAATTTGCTTCAATAACAAGTGTATTTACTAATTTAAGTAAATCAATAACTAAATATCGATTATAAATCAATTCTGATGCAATATTAATTATCTGAAAAATAAATAAATATAAAATTTAATAAATTTTTTTATTTCTCTTGATAAATGAATACAATAACATTATTTATTTTTCATTTGAAAAAGACAATGAATTTTAATACGATCAAATGTATCATATGATCGAATAAGAAGATCACGTTCAATTTCAAATCTTTTCAGTGCTCAAATCTAAATATCTCAAAGATGAAAATAAAAACAAAATAAATAATGATTAAAAAAATCATACCATAGAAAAATGAATTGCATTATTATGAATTCTACTTAATGATCAATGTTTTTGATCTATTAGAACTTTAATAAACAACATAGGAATTCGTTGTTGAATTTTTTGTCATATATGAGTAATGGCTACTACACTTATGGAATGATTTAATGGAAATGATATAGATGATGGTGTACATGTTGTTTTTTGAATTACAATTGATAGTATCGATGGTGATGAATCAGATGTTGTTATTGATAACAAGGATTTTTCAATAAATATTTAAACATAAATTAAATGTTATTGTTATTAAATAATTATTAAATTTTGATTCTATATTTCAAGTTCAGATAAAATATCTATTGTTGATTAGAAATTATCAAAAGTAAATGATAGTGTCCAATAACGTTTAAAAACATCAAATCATACATAACCATCATTTATTTGATTAAATGTTTAAAAATCATTGATGCAAAGAAGATATAAAATTTTCCAAGAATTAAAGAAGATATTTCTGATTTTAAACGATTGTTAGTTGAAAAAGATGATGACGGCTAGGAGTGATGGAGGAGGCGAATATGGTCGACATTACTTCGATGGATAAATTTTGTTTCCTTTCTATTTACTATTCGTTCGAATGTTGAATCTGTTTATTTTGGACGAGAATGAGAAACGTAAATATTGAAACGAGAAGAACAAAGAAATTATTCTAGATG